CTTCCCAGCATTCAGTGCATGCTAATCACACACCCTGTGCTAAAACAAACAGCAGCGCTGCAGGCAGTAGGCCAGGTATTTCTTGGGTAAACCATAAAATTGTTGAGTTACAAATATAACATCTACAGGTAGTATAACGTCTCACTTTGCTTATTCATTTTCATATTGCTTTGTGGCCACTGTTTGTGAGTAAAAGCCCGTATTTTCACAAGCGAAAGCAGATTTTCTGACCATCCTGATGCAGCATTTACCTCCCCACTGCCACTAATTTCCATACTTGTAAAACCAGTTCAACCATCCATGTATCCTGAGGTTTCAAACAAAGTCCCAAGTCAGACACTGTAACTATCCATGCAACTGTAGAAACATCCTGTAGTTGTTACGGCTTAATACTCTCCCTCCTGAAGCAACATATTCCTTATTTTCTTACGTTTGTGTTTTAAGTACTGCACTTAGGACACTCACCTGAGTTGCACTACTTTTTGTCCACGGTAACAAACGTTCAGAGACGAGGGGGCACAGGGTTGAAGGAAGCAGCTCGGGATATGGCTTTGGGACAGGCGATAAGGAGCTGTCTGCCTCTCTGACACTCCTGAAACAAAACCCACACACGAGACAGAATCATTAGCAAATTATCTAAACTTATGTTTTGTTGCTCAAAGACTAAAGCAGATTTTTCTCTGTTTCATTTGCAACAGTCAATAAGAGAACTACTGCTGCATTTATAGTAAAAGTAAAACAAAAAAGTATATTCAGTCTGATAAAGTCATCACTTTGATATGTGCTGCTGATTATCCATGCTGCTGATCTCATGCTGCTCTATTCATTCCTACTCGTCTGCTCACGCAGACATGTTCATGCTGTTGTTCGGCGTAGTGGTTTGCACTATTAGTGTTTAGCGTATTTCTTAGTTTATATCTCAGCTCCTTATTTACGGTTTCGTTTTACATTTTATATTTTTGCTATTGTTGGATGTAACTGGGACACTGTGTACACAGTTTCGTTCCACCTCGTGTACCACACGTGATGAAATGACAATAAACGTACTTGAACTCGATAAACAAATAGACGTTCCAGAGTTACATTTTGTTTGTAGAACAGACCAACACCAACAACAAATCACTTTTTTGAACACAATAGAAATGAGGAAGAGATAAAGTGCCACAAATATTTTTTGCATTGACCCCCCACCTTGTTGTAAACAGCCTGGTGACATGCCCACTCACCAGCACTTCTGATAAAACAGCAGATAAGGCAACTGCCGTGCAGTGCTTTGACATTCAGGGGAACTGATCCAAGCACAATAAATAGAAAAACGCTAAAATAAATGCAACATTGCAGATAATATACTGTATATATTTAAAAAAAGAATAAATGCTTTTTTGTGTGTTTCAAGAAAACAAAAACTAATGCGTGTTTGTGAACTGGTCTCCAGCAGAATCACAATCCCGTATGATGAGGTAAGAGAGTTAGATCCTGCAGATTAGTTCTGTTTATTGACTGACAGCTTCTTCATTCCTCCTTTACAGAGTCAACAAACTGTCTCTTTCAAACCAACAGGTGCTCGATTTCAGGCGTTTAAACACATCACCAGAAAAGCAGCGTTCAATTTTCTGACTGGCACCTGCAAACACAACTGTACTATTGAAATAAGGCATCTCACATTATACAATGTAATGTATGAATCACCTTTTATTTTATTTTATTTTTTTACTTTGCATGCATTTATTATGAAAATGATGAAAAGAGCTGTGTTCTCGACAAGACTTTAAAAAGAGTCATACCTGTTCCCTGGGCACAGCTTGGTCCCAGTCTCCTGAGCATTTGGTGTTAGTGAAGGATCTTGAAGTGGGATGAGGGCTGGGCTGGAAAAACTACTCCCATTACTCTTCCCAGTATGAAAAATCTCTGCTCTCTGTCCGAGGCTTCCAGACGTGTGTATCTTCTCCAGTGTTTTATTCATATCAGTGATGTGGCCAAGGCATCATCCGGAGTGAACAAGAGAAACGAGCTGCTGGACTAGAGAGCGTGCCCTGCTGGAGCAGGCTGACTGCCGGTACTTCTCTGCACACAGCAGTACGCACACGCACACACACACACACACACACACACACACACACACAAGTACACACAAGTTTTTCTGGCTCATCTGCTGCCCACGGGGCTGGCCCTGTGGGGCAAAATGATCCCTCCTACCCAAACATGTTCCACCACAATAAAGATATTTTTAAATACAATGACTCTCAAAACAGACATCCTTGTCTTGACCCCATGATTAATGTGTATATATTTTAAAAGATGACCTCTTTTTTTTTGTGGTAAATACAATTTTCATTTGCAAGCTGGAAGCCAGAAAACCTGCAGACAAAGAACTTGAACAAAAGATTTGGTAATGAGTTCATGAGGGCTGTAAACCCAGCTGTTCTTTGTCTGTGGACTTTGCACGGGACCTGCACTTTAAACTTCTTCCACTGTAGACTGGTTGTAAAGAGTGATCAGCCGGTGCAGCGGACTGGTTGTGGAGCTGGCTGTGTCACTCAGTTACAGGTTCCACATGGGGATGGTTGGGATGAGAACATCTTTCTGAAAAGTAATGTGTAACGAACCCTAACCAGGGAAGATTCAGACAGTAAACAAAGAGGTCAGACTTGCTGCACAGATTTTAATAAAAATTCAGGGAAAATGAAACACTTTGTGGTAAAATGACTAAAAGAAAACACGTTTTTAACATGGAAGCATTTTACTGAAGAAGACTTAATTGTGAAAACTGGGTGGATGGATGGTTTTTGATTCAACCAGTCAGTCATGCATCCTGTTATATGTTTTTCTCTGATCTACCAATAAACAAGATTCAGTGCCTTGCTCAAGGACACATAAGCATACTTCATTGTATAAAAATTATAAGTTGACAAGTATTTATGATCCCCCCCCCCCCCCCCCCAACATATTATATACACCAAAAAACATTTCTCAGAGATGCTTCACTTATTTTTTTTTTGCAATTAGTTTTGTAACATATTCTACTCTTTATTGTTCGCTGCCCAAGGTGAGAGGAAACACTGATTTTGCTCCTGTCGGAGTGTTTGTCTGCACCATTAGCAAATTAGCTCATGGACCACTGGACACATTTTAATGAAACTCTGAGAAAGTAATCATTGATGGATGGTTACAGCTGTTTAACTTTCGGCGTGAAACCAAGATTGCTGCCACAAAAATGGTTATAATTCAGTCCATTTTACAGATATTGGACCAGTTTTGTTGTGGTAGTAGCCAAGAGTCACCCTCAATACATTTATTGAACAAGAGGTCACTATTGCATGAGGTCATGCTTATTGTCATTTACAAGGTTTAACATAACTGGCTGCAACTCTGTCACCTCCAAGATCACCTTAGTTTAAAACTCTGGCATGAAAGGCCCATTAAACAAGTGGTACACCAATGTTCCCCGTCTGAATAGTGAATGGTTTGTGTTTTTGAGATGTGTTTCTCTTTACAGGAATTGAACAGGAAATGCAAATAAACCTGTTTTTGGTGCAAGATATACAAGTGGGTGGCAGTTAAACTGTGTGAATAGAGGTAGTTATTTTGTTGTTGTCAGAAACGCAGAGTGACCAGAACCATCATTCACAATAATTGAAGGAAACTACTTTTTAAGGAATATCCTTCCATCCATCCATTATCTTCCGCTTGTTCCGAAGTCGGGTAAGCTTGAGCAGGGAGGCCCAGACATCGTTCCACAGCCACCTCTTCTAGGAGGAACCCAAGGTGTTCCCAGGCCAACACAGACATAATCTCTCCAGTGTGTCCTGGGTCTTCTCCCAGTCGGACACGTTCGAAGCACCATATGGAGGTGCCCAGGAAGCATCCTTACCAGATGCCTGAACCACCTCAACTGGTTCCTCTTGATGTGATAACTGAACTTCTCACTCCGTCTCTAATGGAGTCCAGTTGCCCTGCAGAGGAAACATTTCAACCGCCTGTATCTGTGATCTCATTCTTTCCGTCACTACCCAGAGCTCCAGACTGGGTGAAGGTAGGAACGTAGACTGAACGGTAAACAGAGAGCCTTGTCTTACAGCTCAGCTCCCTCTTCACCACAATGGACCGGCACAGAGTTCACAATACTGCGGATGCCACACCAATATGTCAGTCAATGTCACGCTCCATTCAGAAAAAACAGGCAGTAAATGTAGGAACTCCATGTTTCCAAAGTGAGTCTGTTCAAGGATCTGTCTACCACAGGTAAGATATTCATTGCTCATAAACTTCCACAGAATTTTACTTGTTGAAAATAGCTTCTTTTTTTAACTTTAAAAAGCTTTCCTGAATAAATAAAACAAACCACAATTATGTCTTTAAGTGTTTTGACCTGAGGGTTTTACAGTGTTGCTTACACCAACATGTTCCTGGGTAAGCCCATCCAGGATATTTAGGAATGAATGCATGTGCAACAAAGGGCAGTGCAAATTGGAGAAATTATGAAAATGAGGCGAGTGACATAAAAGCTTTATTTATAGCAACAGCTGATGGCAGAAACAAGTATACACATTAACATACTTGTTTACATTTGAATCAAAACAATACTTAAATATAAATCTGAATAATCATCTAAGAAATATTTCCCATAGGTCAGACCTGGTCTGTCCTACACATCCAGTATTCATATAATAAATGTTTTATAAACCCAATAAAGTTACAATTATTCAAATAATTTATAGAATTGTTATCATTAACACTTTGCATTAAATGCACGGTCAAACAAAATAAAAGAAACTTAAAATTTGCTAGATTATTACTCAGTGGTGTACGCGAATAAACCAACGATTGATTTTAAAAATAGATCCTTTTATGTACACGGTCGAAGACCAAAACGAGGTCGCACAAAAGACTGCTTCTTCTTTTGTGCCTTGAGATACAAATGAAAAAAAATATATAAAAGTCTGAATTCAAAGAAAAAAAAAAAAGACAAGCTCCTCCTGAAATAAAAAAAAGAAAGTCACATGTTGGTGTCAAAATGTATCAAAACGGTTTTGTAAAGAGCTGGTTTTGGCTTACTGTGGCTGATATGTCATCAGATTAACGGCACAGCTACGGTTTGCTCTGAACACCCTCTTCACTCTGCAACAGAAAAAAAATTAGCTCATATTTATTAAATTCTGGGCTCATTTAAGCCACTGGGTAGGAAAACTTGTTTTATCCTTAAATATATGTGTAAAAAGGAAATAATAGATCTATATCCACAAATAAAGGGATTCATCTATTGTTTAAATGTATGTGCTACATGAAAAATATCAGAATATCCTTAAGAAACCCTTTTGTTTACAGAACATATACACACTAGATAAAACCCAACGGCTGATGCAAAACCGAGGGATGCCAGGTTGTCCCGCTCTCGTTGGGAAAAAGTGTGAAAAAATGTGCTTCGATCATTCGTGCATTGCGCCCTGCAACTGTGGCCTCACGAGTTTTAATCGTCAGCATTTAAATCAGTGTGCAACTGTGTTTCAGAACCAACCTCGAGCTTGGATAATCCCTCTGACTCCAAGACTGATGACGGACTTGTAATTGGAAAGGCCGGTGGAAACGCAGACGAGGGAGGCAACTTTGGCCTGTGGGATAGAGACTGGCTCCGTTTCACAGCCGAGGACACCGCCTGGGCGAAGCGGGAAGGCGTTGTCGGAGCGAATGGTCTCGGCGCTGCAAAGCTTCTTAATTTTTCCAAGCTTAGCCCTGCGCTGGGCTCTCTAGAAGGCAGGCTGCTTTGCCTCGTCATTCTTGAGTATGCATTCTTGCCCTCCTGCTGGGGGCTCAACAGAACATTAGTGGCCTCTGCTGCCTCCCCTTGAAACTGTACAGGAGGTGGAGGAAAAGGAGGAGAAAGAGGAGGAGGGGATGGCAGCGCTGCTCCTTCTGCACTCCCTTCAGTCTCCTTGAGCCCAGAGCCAGGACTGGCACTGAGGCTTTTCTCAGCAGCTGAAGTTACGTAATATCCAGGTCTTTTTTTGTGCTGGGCCAAGTGGATAGAAGCAGGCTTGGGTTTGGTTGCGGGTGGAATTTTCATTTCCTTGACCTCTGCTGGCGAACCTGGTGGAGACACAGGATTGGCGGAGAGGACATTGTCTGGGCTGTGTAAAGTTATTGGTGAAGAAGAATATGTAGGTATACTTTCATTTACAGTGTGTTGAGTAGTAGTAGTAGTGGTTATTGTGCTAGTCATCAAGTCATCCCTGGGTAAATTAGAACCTAGCTCGCATTTCTCTTTTGAGTCACCAATCTGTCCTGTGTCCTCATTTAAATCAAGAGAACCAATTTCAAGGCCATCTGGAGCTTTGGAAGCAGCCTCCAGTGTCAGTGCAACTTCATAGTATCTCAGTTTCTCATGAGATTTCTGAGGCACAATGGTGTATGTAGTCATCCCCACTTTGGGGATGTAGTCCCTTGTCAGCTCATTGGAAGGTTTAGGTTTTGGCTCAGAGTTTGTGGCGTACATAGGCGGTGCTTTCAAAGTAGCAGGCACACTTGGTGTCGAGTCTTGGCACGGTGAAGTTTGGAGCGAGGCATGCTTCAGGTCAGATGGTTCCAGCTCCTCTGTCAGAGTGGCCGTGTCTTTTTTCTCCACCGTTTGTGCAGCGAGTGAATGTGCTGATGAAGGAACTTTGTCCTCGTGTTGCTGTGGAGGAGGCTCGGAGAAACTTGTGGAATCGGTTTGCACTTGAGCGCCTACTCCGGTGGGAGATGATGTGCTGGTGGCTGAACTCTCCACGCCGTCAGTCAGCTCTTGAAGGGTTTCGGTGTTTGCCTGCACTTCTTCATCCTTCGTCTGAGGCAGAGTTTGGACGCCAACGCTACAATCCCTTTCAGCGCTCTCGGCTGCAGACTCTTCACAGATGGACTGTGGGCTATCTTTGAGTGGTTCACCATCTATACAGAAAAAAAAACACGTTATTTAAGAATGAAAAACAAGCTGACCACAGTGTATTGTAGAACTGAAGCAATGAGACAAATTTTTTTTAAAGAATATTAGTAAAACAGAAAAGAACGGCGCCATCTTATTTTGAAAATACTCACTGGTAACTGTCAGTTCGTGAGCGTCTGCGACATCAATTTTATTTTCACTCAAAGCTGCAGAACCATTCACAAGGCTTTCCAGAAGACTGGAAAAAAAAAATAAAGACTTAAGAGATCTGCCAACAATAAGGGAAAAAACACTTGAGCGCTGTGCATAGCATTACTTTGGTTCGTACTTGCCATCTGAGGACAGATCAGGCGACTGATCTTCCCCAATCTCCTCCACTGTGCTCCTAGACCCAATATCAGGGGAAGGTGAATGTAATGAGACTTCAGACGACACGTTGAGGCTACTGATCTCTTCCTGGGTACTGCAAGCTGCTGCAGTTATTGCAGATATTACAGACGCGCTGGTCTCCTCCTGCTCCATGATCTCTTGTAGCGGGTTAGCAGCCACAGTCACTGAAAAACATTAAAACCATGCAGATGTCAATCAGGAGTGGTCAATAATATGGTTACCTTTGAGTCCCAACTTCTCAATTCCACAAAAAAACATGTCTCCACCATGTTAAAAGCAACTGTTCAGATATTTTGAGGTTGGGTTTTGAGGAAAGGGGATGAATATTTAATATCTTACCTGTTGTAGATATCTCAGTTTGGAGAAATAAAGTTCAATACTGGTCAAGCTGATGAGCTAATGGCTAGTCCGAGTGGTGCCAAAAAAGGTGCATTGCTACAGTGTTTAACTCATCTAAAAATGTCACACAAACAATACTTTTAAACCTTTACATTGCTGTCAAATTAACATCCCGTGGCCGTTTAATAAATGCAGCAGCAGCTGTTTGTAGCACTTCAACTGCAGACTGGGGCACTTGAATTAACATTTCTGTCTGAATAGCAATGTCATGCAAAACTGATGGCAATACATAGGTTCATAAAAAAACAGTTTTCATGTAAACCATGAAAAATGTTTTAAGACTGGAGATGTTTTAAAAAGCTGGGATCCACTTTGGTTCTTGGCTCTGCTGAAATTAGCAATTAGCTCGCCAGTTTGATCATAAAAAAAAAAAAAGATACTAGTGTTTATATAGTCAACATAACTTCACTTCAAAAGATTTGAACTATCCCTTTAACACCTGATGTGGCAGATAGAGGAAGTGTAACACAGAGGAACAGTGAGCAGCAGGAATTTCAAGGCCACTTCAACAAAGCTTGCTGTTCTCAGCCTCTGAGCGCAGTATTTACAGTCACAAGGGGAAGTTAAAAAATAGGAGGCAGTGATTTTTATCTGTAAAGTCGGTGTTGGAAATATTTAAATCTGATAAAATATGTTTGAAGGCAGCTGTTAAACTATATTCTATAAAAGACATCTTGTTGTAGTGAACCACAGGTAACAGGACGTGAGAGACGTCTTAACAGAGCAAGAGTTATAGAAGAAAGAAAACCCTAAAAGCTACAAGGATAGTATCATTTAAAGGGTTAACAGAATAAAAATTACAATTTGTGTGGACACAGATTATAGTATTTGTTAGTAAATATTTGCATAAAATGTCATGATGGAACAATTTTTTTGTGTGATGCTCCGAAAAACTAATATAAAAAATGAGTTCAGATATTAAATCTGCAACAAGTTCAACATTTTCTATAAACTGCTCAAGTTTTTCACAGGAAAATTGCCCTTCAATGACACGATAAGGTTTCTGAAAGGACACTTCCAAGTTCTGAGCACAACAAGCACGGTTTTACTTCCCACATGCAGAATAAAACAAGCGCAGGTTTCGAAGTCGTAGTAGAAACGAGCTCAACTCTGCTTGGCAGAATATCAAGGGATGTGAGAAAATGTTTTCTAGTCTTTCTTGTTTCTATAATTCCAGAAATATAAACCTTCATAAACAAGACTATTTTTTAATAGCTGTGCTTACAAGACGGGTGGAGTTTCCCCTAACGGGACAATGGGTGCACTGGGTCTGTACAATCACAGGAAAGTCTACCAAAACTTGATAATTATACACAACTGTTTTAAAAAATATAAATAGTTTACTACTGAAATATAAAAGGAATTCAATTAAAAGAACCATCCTAGAAACTGAGTGAAGACAAATCTATTGTTGAATGTGTTCTTTCCAAGAAAAGCTCAAATGAACTAAAACATGACAGAATCAGAGTGGCACAGTTTCCCCCCACAAATGAAGCATAATCTGTAAAATTAAAAATTAGCCCTGCTAGATTAATAATTGGCTGTGATCTGTGCTCTGCAAGGTGACTTTTTCCAGGTTTCCGGGACTTCTTGTATTGGGCACTTCTCAACAATAACCACTAGGGGGCGCAAAAGTCAAAGAAAAGAAGAGCCAAAGTTACCCTCAAAGGCCAATTTTATTTAACAGCTGGACCAAACCAGTCTAATCTTTTAAGCTATTTTTTTTAGCTACTGTATAAAAACATGTATGAGACATAAATAAACAAATAAAGAAAGGCAAACCTTGCAAATCTTCTGAAATAGTTTCTTGGAGAACAGGGCTCGGAGAACTTGGGGGTGGAGGAGCCCTGCGTTTGGTCCTCCTCAGTGAAGACTCAGCTGAGGACCCACGACTTACACCAGCCACCTTCAGGATAAGATTTAAAAACTAAAAAATGCACAGAATGATGCAAGTGATACGAGACAGCAAAGCCTCTGATTCTCAGTCTGCTCACCTGATCATCAGGAAGGGGGTTGGGCTCAGAGTGGAGTCTCCGGCGGGCGCCAAAGTCTGAGCGAAAGCTCTGCGACACAAGGACCGGGGGTTGGGGCGCACGTCTCTTCTTTGGCACATCGGCGAACATGGAAGAGCCGAGAGAGGCTGAATCCGAGATGGGTAAAGCCACACTGAGAGGTCGGGGTTTGCTGACGAGGACAGGAGAAGCAGGGGCGCTGGCGGTTGTTGGCTTTAAAGAACAAACATTCAACCAGAACATGATAAGAAGCATGTCTCCAAACAGCACAGTGAACTTTAGCCAGTGGCAAACCAAAGCTAAAAAAAAACCCATTTAATATATACAATGCTGTAAAAGAGTAAATTTGTCCTAAAAATGGTACAGTTAAATATTTGTTTACATTCACCTGCTCTGCCTTTTTCTTGCTTTTTCTAAACATGCTGAAACGGCCTTTATTTTCTTTCTCTTTCTGATTTTTATCTTTGCTTGGCGTTACTGCTCCTATAAAAGCAAAACCAAAACACAAAAAAAAGTCAGTTGTGAGAACATAAAACTGCAATTGCTCGGTGGAAATCAAACCACGAGGTTCGCTTTGATGAAATACCTGAACAAGGTGGTGAGTTCGAGTGCACAGGAGAAGCAGCTTGTCCTGCAAAGCAAACAAACCTGAGATTTCGTGCATAACAAATGGCTTTCACAGCGAGGCTCAAAAAAAAGGTAGGCTGGTCAGGCACAGTAAAACACACTGAATATTAGAAGTATTGAACACACCGGTACTCACTTTTTGTGTCTTTTGCGTAAACCTCCCGTATTGCATAATCATTAAGAGTGTTGGACAAGTCCAACGGGGCCAGTGACGTGACATCTCTCAACAGAACTGTAGTCTCAGTGTCAAATTCACATTTCTCACATATTGCCGGTAAGAGTTCATGTAGAGGGACTCGAGGATTTACTCGCAATATCGTTTTCTGGCTCTTTCTGTAGTTTATCACCATCCGAACCGTAGCCTAGAGAGCACACAACGAGGCATTTATTCAACGTGAACAATCAAATAAGTCGTGTTTACTGTAGTCAACAGCCTACCTCGGGCATCTGGGGACCAGTTTTCTTGTTTGCATCCTCTCCTTTAGGTTTCAGTATGATCTTTTCTGCACCCAACGTTCCAATGAGAGCATTGGGCTTGAGCTTGACGTTGTTCCTGTTGGATGTGACCAGTTCTAAAGTGTGGCTCGACGGGTTCAGGTGATACTTGGCACAAAGCGTCACTAATAGGTCCATTAGGGGTTTACTGAAAGGCACAGACATGAGAAGGGTTCATTTAAGTCAAGAAGTTAGGCATCATCCAAAATGATTACCCAAACAAAGATCAAAGTTCACGCTCAACAATCCAGGTTAAAAAAAACAATCCAACAAGATCAGTTAGATCATCTGGACAGTTTTTTTTTTTGGAGACATTTCGTCCTTCATCCAAAGGACTTCATCAGTCCGAGGAGCCACAAACAAACTCAGTCCCAAAAGCAGCACTCGCATAGTGGACCAATGAGTTTGCTGGTGATAAGATGTCCAGATGACCTGACTGAACTTTGTTGGATCTAAACGAAGAATTAGTCCCTTTTTATGGAGTTGCATTTCAGACTTCTCTATAAAAAGGAAAAAAAAATATGTCTCAAATATTGACTACCTGACTCACTCTGTATATTTACTTAATAAAACATAACAGAAAATGTGTCCATGCAAGCAGAAGAATTCAAGGCAGCAAAAATTCTTATTTTGTCCAACCAAAAGTTAAAAACGCACATTTATTCCATAAATTTTACTTTTAAGAGATTCCTTAAGCTAACAATAATTTCTTGTTAAAATAACTTTGCATGTACCGTATTTTTCAGACTAGAAAGGCGCACTTAATATCCTTTAATTTTCTCAAAAATCTACAGTGAGCCTTATAGTCCGAAAAAGACAGTACTTGAAAAACGACAAAAAAGGCCAAACAGGTTTCTCTGGATGAACCAACTGGTTAATGACTGCTCATATATTTTGTGTAATAGAGAAATTGGGCATATTTGTGATAAAAAGTGAACTCGTGGGAAAAAAAATTACCACAAAACAAATGTATGGTATGACGGCAACAATTTCTAACACCAACTGTACTGTCAAAACTAAGTTGTATAGGCGCTCTGAATAGGCTTAAAGGGAGCAAAAGAATGTAACTTTTAAAAATAAATTGAATTAATCTCAGCCAATTCAGGCCAAGGTGCAAAGGACAGCTCTGAAAGCTTGTTGAAAAATTGTTTGCATTGACAGAATGATAGGAATATCTTAAGTAAACCATTTTGATGGAAAGTGTTGAGCTGTGACGGAGAACAGGTAGACTTTGCTTTGAAACATTTGACACAAAGGTCAGGCTGACACATGCGGACCTGATTACAGCCCCCGTTTAAGTATTGAACGGGTTCATTCTTGCACGGAGGCATGCAAAAGCTAAAGTATTTAATGAAGTTTAACAACGACGTTCCGAGTTTTTTTTGCTTCCATGACCCAAAATGAAACGAATGCAACTAATTTTGCGTGAGTGCACCCATTAACTAAAAACAAAAGACAGAGCGACTCCACCCAGCTGGCTCGGTTGGATCAAGCAGGACGTCATGTGATGACTTCATACCTCACACATCCCATGGTGTGGAGTCTAAAATGTTGCAACAGGACGACTGCGGTGCTTTATATAAGAAACTGTCTCAGTGTACCTTCCATGAACCACCGTCGTCTTTTCCACTCCTCCAGGCAGAACCACGGTGAGAGAAAGCTCTTTATCGATAAGGTTCTCCTTCTGGTCCATGGTTAAATGAGGGTTTCCTGGGTGCCACTGGGAGAAACCTGAAGAATCCAGCTTCTTCAGTCCTGGTGGGGACGGGGCTTTATTTTTGGCTGACACCCTGCAGTCAAACAAGAAAAACAAATTAACTTTTCTTCACATTACAGACAGGGTTTCTTACATTCTTTAGTATGCATGCAGAAAACATTTTAAAAAAGCATTAAAGTTCTTTATTTTTTTAGACGGCACAGAGGGAACCCCTTTCTTTCACACGTTTTTCAAAGCAAAGAGGCTGTAACATTTAGGTGTCCCAAGACTACTTTGCACACAAGTCACAAGACAACCATTGGACGGATTTGCCCACTGAGCCTGATGAACAGACTTCAAATGAAAAGACTTGTCTGGGTTATTATAAAATAAGCTTTGCTGTAGTATTGTGCATATGGTTATAAATATACATGAAAGAGTACAAGGAAAATTTACAACCAGAATATTACAGACAGTAAATGAGCATAAAAATGCATACAAGTAAACTAAATAAATAAAAGATGCCATCTTGTCAGCTGGTCAACTAACAGACAAGCATTCATGTGATTTTTACAACACAACGAATTGAAGACAGCAGCACGAACTCGTGCAGCGATGGAGCCTGTAAACAAAAATGTGGAAATGTTTTTTTGTTTTTTTGTTTTTTACAGCAAATGTTATGACGGGCAAAATTAAAACAAGAAATCAATATCGTCAGTGGACCCAGGAATCACAACTGCTGGAAACGTTCAGTCAGAATGCTGATAAAGGGTTTTTGTAGATGTAGTACTCTGAGTTACGGCCTGTAAAGTCTCACATGTGGGCCCTGCTTACACAAACAGAGGAATCTGAGCAATGCGAGCTCACAGCCTCCACTGAGGAAAGTCTACCCAAGATTATTGGTATTTCCATGAGGGCAGATGCCCTTAAACACAGAATAGGACATATATACTCACACATGCTACCTAAAACTAATATCTGTGCTTGAATTCCAGGCTCCTCGGTACAATTCAAAAATCTGTCGGGGAAAATGCAAACAGAAACCATTCACTTTGAATCCCAGTCTAATGAAAATGCCAAGATGATGTCCAATCAGCATCTTGATCAGCCACACCTGCGAGGTGGACGGATCATCTCAGCAAAGAAGTGCTCACTAACAGATTTACACACGTGTGAAGAAGATTTGAGAGAAAAGGGCCTGTTGTGTGCGTAGAAAAAGTCAGATCTTTGAGCTCAGCTCATGAAAAATGGGAGCAAAAAACAACAAAAAAAGTGTTGCATTTATATTTGTTTGGTGTATTTTTCTTTAATATTTAACTTAAAGTGCTCAAAGTCTGCAACGTAACTCGCAGAATCTCCAAAAAGGGATGGCAAAGTAATTAATGCAGCACCCAAAACCTGAATAATTTTTTTTGTGCGTTTTATTTTTTACAAAAAATGATGTAAATTAAACCAAATAGAGGCCTACTTGAAAAAAAAAAATCCAAATTGTTTGCTAGCCCTTAAGATACAAATTAAAATTAAAAGCAGCTGTTTCACCATCTCTATTAATATCTTGAAAAACCAAACAAAAGCAAAATCTAAAATAAATAGACGACTTTATTACTGAATCTTGAGGCCAAAAGCCTTTAAAGCATTTTTGCTTGTTTCCAACAAAGAATGTTGTCAGTGTTATTGTTCTGGTAGAACCAGGCTTAGAATAACAGACTCAGGGGAAAAGTTCTAGATGTTCTAACTCCTTCATTCATTCATTTTCTACTCCTCGTCATCCTGTTCAGGGTTGTGGGGAGCTGGTATCTCGAGTTTTCAATGGGCAAGAGGCGGGCGGGGTACAGGCTTCAATCCAGTGGTTGGGGGAGTTACTTTTCAATGCAAAGATTGTCACAGGGTGCTGAAGTGTCCTGAACTCTCCTACACCTCCTCACCAACATGCCTTTTGGTAAGAATGAGAATATAAAAAGTGCAGTACATAAAGTGTTTAAAAAAAAATAAAATAAATCAAGGATGTAAATGTATTGTCAGAACTATCTAGCTAAGCTTCAAGGTTTCCCCCCCCCCCTGACTGTTTGCAGAAGAAGTTATAATTTCATGAAGAACAGATGAAAATGCCAGCCTGTGTTTTCTATTCAAAGTCAAAAAGCCATCTGGAAAAAAAATAATAATAATAATGCAGTAAGCTGTGAAATTCATATGCATTGGTTTATCCGATTGTATATTTACCATGAGCCAAACATGTTAGATAAAGAATAGACTTAAACACAAACCATATCATCGAACTGGAACAATAACCGTCACAGATACCAGGAGCTGCTGAATGAGTGCTTGTTTACTCTCGTGTGGCAATAAGGAGTAGAAAAACCTGCTTGAAAATAGAAGTAAAAGCTGCGAACGGCTAGAAAACAGCTCACTCACAGACCGAACTGGACTGCAGCAGCTGCTCCTAAATCCATCAAAACAACCCAACTGTCACGATCCGTCCATCCAAACCTCCATAGTGCCAACACAGGTATTTACTAAACGGAGTTACAAAACTGAGGATTTCAAGGGTAAAACAAATACAGCATATTAACAGAAGCATGGGAGAGTGGTGGCGCAGAGGTTAGAGAGGGTGGGCCTGTGATCGCTGGTTCAACTCCCGGTACCGACAACATCAAAATGTGGGTGGGATAGGTGAAACACCTGCATTCAGCCTCATTTGCCCCACTCTGGGTCCTTGAGCAAGGCACTTAACCCCCACCATCTGCTCCCCTGGGTGCCCTAGCTGGCGTGGTAGCTCGGTGGTCTGTGGTTGCTTCAGGAAGGGCATCCAGCGCAAAAATAACTGACAAGTCCTCGTGCGACTCAGTTCACTGTGGTGACCCCTGAAGAAGGGAGAAGCTGAAAGAGGAAACAAATAATAAATAAAATAACTGAACCATGAATGTGATCATTCAGTACTGGTACTTTAATAATTTTGGATTGTGCATTTTTTGTCGTGATTAAAATTAATCCATCGTAAATTATAAATGTCTATATGCTTTAAAATGTTAAATGTATTAACGTGAACGTGTTGCAAATGTTTTAGATTTAAAGGATGTCGTATAAATCAATGTATCAAAGTTCATCTACAGCTAATAACGTGTATATATATATATATATATATATAAATAAAATAAAAAGTCAGAGTGAACAGCAGCCAGACAAGCGGAGGATAGACAATTAGCAACAATATGAACTGTTACAGGTTTCCACATAATAAAAAAGGGGCAGAGTTGAAGAAATAAGAGTTGCATTTGCACATCAAAGAAAAAAAAAAAGTGCCTCTGAGCTACATGCACGTTTAGTTTCCACATACCGTAGCTGGCTACATTTAGATTAGCATCTACAGAAAGCTGCTCGTCACACATGCTCAAAACAAACGGAATCAGCAAACATGTTCATGTTGTCACAAAGAATTGCAGAATACACAGTTCTGTGACAGACGTTACATACACTTGGGCAAAACATATTTGCAGATTATTAGGAGGGCTGAAAGTATTTTAATGTACCCAGTTCAATTACAGTAATACCAAATATGGAACTCAGTGCTTCAAATCAGTCGAATGTAAATGAGACTCTTGACTCATTCATGGTTCGCTCTACTTTGTCAAGCAAGACATCCAACAAAATGTTGCTCGAGATCGTTTGAACAGAATGAAACTACTGCCATTTATAAATGAGCTTTCATGACTAAAACCGAACTAATGATTGTACAGGTTAGTCTTGCAGAGTTTGGACATGATTCAGAGTCGTTGTTCTTCTCAGTGGTTCATAGACCTGTCAATGCAGCACTCCTGCATGCAATAAAAAGCTAGCATGCACTGCTAGCATGCTAATTATATAGAAGCTTTTCATAACTTGAAATCTACAAACACTATAGTGATGTACTGCGTTAACATAACCATTGAAAAGTACAGTGAAACATATAAAAAAGACAAGAAAAGTTTCTACCAGTTACTTCATTTTTTTTAGGCTAAGTGTTTAAGAGATCCTTGTAAAATATTAGACATTTAAAAATGGGTATCAACAGATTGACAAATGTATAGAGTCATAAATTAAAAAGTGAACAAAGTATCCAAAAAAGTTCAATCTGGTCCTCTGGACATTCAAAAAAACAAAAAATAAAACAAAGCAAAAAAATATAGAAACGTTTCGTCTCTCATCCAAGAGACTTCCTCAGTCTGAGGTGCTGTTTT